CCAGCCATTGACCCAGGCTGAACAAGAAAAACTGTCCGATTCCCACGTCTGGCTATTGTATTCTGATGGCTGGGGCCCACTGATTGGCTGCAGTCACTGTTTGGCTGAAAATATTCCACCCAGCAAGGCCACCCAAGCATTTAGTGTTGGCCAATTCAGCAACAATAGCCAAAATTTGATACATGTATGCCAGCTTTACATGCCTGGGCCCCTCCTCCTCCTTCACAGATCATCTACGAATGTACCTGTAAAGAACCAAGCTAGAGTGTATGCTTACCCCTCCACCACCTTATGACATCAAACTCTTTCTGGACAGATTCTGGGGTATACAGAGCAAATCTTATGGGAAGAGGCTCTTGGAATGGACCAGAGTGTCTTCTCACAAGATTTCACCTGCTTCGCATTCCCCTGAATCTTCCTGGAAGACAGTGACATCACACCCAGCCACGTGAAACACAGGGGTAAGGTAAGTATAAAAGTAGATGATTTGCAAAGGGGGAGGGGCTCTGGCAATTTCAGTCAGTCCATATAAAAGTTATACATGCAACAGAAGATGGTCAGAAACTGCAGACAAGCAACAGGAGATGGTCAGAGACTAAAGACCAGTGACGTGCGGTACCTTCGCTTCCTGGTGAGGCATTCCCCAGCCCCAGCATGCACCGCCCATATCCCGCCGAAGCCCAGGCTAGTGTGAAGGAGGAAGGCAGGAGACAGAGAGGAGACTCCCTGTCCCTCACTTGCTCAACACTGCTGAGGCATCGAGATCGATGGCCTCATTGTTGTTTTTTTGATTGGACAGCTTGGACCAATGGCGCTTTGCCATTAGTCCAAGCCATCCACAGAGCTCACGCCTAGAGGCTGTGACAGCTCTCGCCTCACTAGTTAGGTTACACAAGCAGTGGGGAAGCCTGCTGCTGTGTAACCTAACTACCTGTCAACAGCCGGATGCAGCGCTGCCTGTAATTAATAGGCAGCGCTCCGTCCATGACAGGTTACACAGAGGAGAGGATTTCCCTGCTGTGTAACCTGTTAGAAGCCGCTCTGAATGGAGAAAAAGCTGTCTGCTTCAGACTTAAAGCTGACAGCTTTTTCCTCCATAATACTAGGTGAGGGTCTGCCTCTCCGGCCTCCCCTGACCGCACGTCCCTGCTGAAGACATGCAACAAGAGATGGTCAGATATGCAACAGGAGATGGTCAGAGACTGTGAACAAGCTATAGGAGCAGTTGAAAAATAGGGACATGCTTCAAGAGACACAGTTATAGACATGAGATACGGTACATAAGACTGTAAGAAATCATTAGTACATTCCCTTTATATATCAACGCTTCCACAATTGTGCCCCTTACAGCCAAAGATTTGGAATGGAAAAAGGGAAGAAAAGCAAATAAATAAGTACGTAGTATAAAAGAAATAAACCAAGCCATTTACCTACTAGGAAACAGTCTAAAAGGGAATCCTCCACTGTCCTTAGCATGCACTGTGGTCTGAGGAAACACAGACCACTGTCCACAGGGGCCCCGGGGGGAGTACACTAAGTGTTAAATGAGAACTATGAGGTGAGTGCTTTTTACTCACCTCATAGTTCTAGCCGACCTGTGACTGTCACAGGTCGGCTCAGTAGATCGGGAAGTGAGCGAACATATACCGGCGTTCGCTCACCTCTCGATCCTGTAACGGCTCTCTGCTGTGACAGGGGAAGGGCTGGATTCCCCCCGCTCCGATCCTCCAGCGCTGACTGGTGGAACGGACGGGGGAGGGGGCGGGTACAGCTGGCTCTACCTCTAGATAGGCACAGCCAGCTGTCACTCACGCAGCTGGGCGGATCCAGATATAATTGTCGGGATCCGCTTCAGCTTCGGCGTCTCAGTATACTGCGAGCTGTTGCTTGCGGTATACTGAACTTAGGGTGACGGGAGGACGCTAGTTTGTGTCCTCCCGTTACCCTAAGGAGAACTATGGGGAAAAGCCCTAACCCCATAGTTCTCCTTTAAAGGGCCGCAGCCCGCAGGTTGTGCATCAGGGGCCCAGACTCTCAGTTACGGACGGTACAAATGATGTAAATTCAGCCTGAGTTATACATGACAGAATCCGGGAAATCACAAGCACTGCTAATGGATGCAAAGTAAGATCACAAGCCAGTTAAAGTCTGAAGAAACCTGTGCAGTGATCACAAGCTTCTAGCATGACCTCATCACAACAGGAAGGGCAGTTTGTCATTTACAGAGTTCTGATACACTTTACTATACGTTTGGATATTACATGTTACGCTTCACATGAGGTGCACTTGGCCATTTTTCCAGGAAACACATGGAATACCTCCCCAGACAATTGCAGAGAGTTGACCCTTGCTTTATTTCCAAAAATGTGTAACTAAGACATGTCTATTCCTTGTGAATGGCTTCATGGGGTTAATAATTTTGTGGTTTTTCACTACATAGAAAATGCTGATTGGAGAAGAACAAACTTTCACATAGTATACCCAGTGATTGTGTTCTCTACATCTCTGATATTGCTGGGCATTCTGACTCCATCCAGAAAAGAACAAAAGTACATGGAATAAAACCCAGAATTATCATCCTATTAAACGAAATATGTGTCATTACTCTACTGCAAGATGTTCTAGTTTTATTCTGGTACATTAGTGCCATCTAATGGTCACACCGATAAGTCATTTAAGCTGTTTTCTCACAGAGAATGTAATGAAACCACTTTACAGCATAACACTGATTATGGTTTAGAGTTCAAACCTGGGAGTTTAAGGGGAGCTGCAGTTTGTTTTTTAGGTATACAAGTAGGGGAGATTAACTTAAAGGTCACTTTGCCCATTCGTGATAGCATACCTCCCAACTTTAATAGATGGGAAAGAGGAACGCTGTTACAAATATTAGGTCAGAAGCCACCCCACATCTTTCAGACGACAAAGACCTAAAGAACAAATATGACCAGTTAAACCCAATTATCTTAATTTTCCCCACTATGTTTCCTTTTTATTAGTGTTGGAAATCAAAAACTACAATATTCTGAAGGTTTGATAAAAGGTTAAGAGCGTTATGAACACGTTGGGTGTTTAACTATATGTTTATATTCTGTATGTACATCAGACTGAAAAGAGGGACATTTGAGGAGCAAAGAGGGACAGAGGGATTTGGTTCTCAAAAAGGGACAGTCCCTCCAAATGAGGAACAGTTGGGAGCTAGGATGTAGTATCTCCCCCCCCATCTGGTATATTTCACCTGAGACTGCACTATTCAGTGGTTAATATTTTAAACAACTAAGTTGCTTTTTAAATTGACTTTTGTAGAGTCGTGTATGGCCAGCTTAAGTCTGTCTGTTTGCTCCTTAAAGGTTAGAGAACACAGAAACTAATAATCATTTAGTCCAAGGATTCTGTTGGCCGTGTATTTTTTGATGGGGGCAGGGCGGGGGCAGCAATTGAGTCTTGGTTAAGGTGCCCATACACCGTACAATTATCTGCAGATTTTCTGTGGTCAGATGGAAAAAGTGCAACAGATTGGCCCAGGTGGAGATTACTCCGCCCACACAGTTTAGCGTAGATGGGGTAATCTGTTGCACCTTTTCCATCTGACCACAGAAAATCTGCAGATAATTGTAAGGTGTATGGCCAGCTTAACTCTAAAGTGCAATTAATGTTTAGGTAGGTCCTCTCCATGGCCCTGCCCTGGTGACCTCTGAAAAGTAGCAAATGCCCTATGTAAACAGAAGGACTTCAGAGGTCTTTGAACATTTCTCTAGTCAGTCCAGTACTCACAATACTTTAAAGGAGAACTATGGGGTTAAGGCTTTTCCCCATAGTTCTCCTTAGGGTAACGGGAGGATACAAACTAGCGTCCTCCCGTCACCCTAAGCTCAGTATACCGCGAGCTACAGCTCGCGGTATACTGAGACGCCGTAGCTGAAACGGATCCTCCTTTAAGAATGCTGCAGAAAATTGGTATTTTATTGGAATGATTCTGAACATCAGTTCAGATTTCCTTGTAGTGAGTCCTTATAAGAGATAAGAGAACATCCTAGAGGACCACTAAGGGAGAGCTCTTATCAAATACACAAAGCAATAAGGACTACCCACCGTCCCACAATAACTGAACATGCATAATTATTATATCTGGCGGTTATTGCCTTTCCGTTTCTTAGGGAATGACAGGCTGATCTGAATCAGTTACAGAAACTTTATAATATCCTGGAAACTGTGGTGACTAACAATGTGCAATTTTGCATGAACTTCACGTGTGCTCAGTATTGATTGGTCATTAAGGCCCAGACTGCCTGATTATTACAAGTGACACACAGCTTGGGACTTTCAGGCTGTGCCACAGTGATCCTGACATATATTACAGCTAAGAAAAGCAGTATTTTACGAGTTGGAGAAGCTGAGACACCGGGTCTGCGGCAGGTGAAATCTCATACTTACAGTTATGTATTAGAAGCACGTAAGTGGCAATGACCTTAATAATTCTGTCTAAAAATAATATTTGCAGGCTAAACATATTTTAAAAGAAGATTTCAAAGGGCCAGTCCTCTTAAAGGTGTTAGTTTATATACAGTCAGTGAGCATGGCTTCTCATATTGCTTGGATACCCTGTGCCATAGTTCCCGACTCTACTCCTGTCCTGGAAGTTCGTGTGTTCCCACCCACCATTTTCAACATTCCACATGTGCATTTCACATCATATAAATTGACAAATCCAGTCAGGAGAATGTGAATTTCCTTAAGATAGCCACAAAAGGAGTTTAGACCCAGGAACTCAAGCACAACTATCTCACCAGTAGACAACCCAAGAAATATAAAATACCAGTTTGTCTGGTTTAACTATTCAGCATCTACAAGGTATCAGTTTTGGGTGGACTGACCCTGTAATGAACCATATAATATAAGCATGGTTGTGGAATATACATTTAGATGCACTGTATGGTGATATAAATAGCTTTAAGCACACCGTAATACTAACAAATGGCTTCTCGGATGAATATTATCCTTACCCTTTAGGAGATCATAAGCCCGGGGAACATCATATTTTCTTGCCCGAATGAATCTCAGAAAGAAATCATCTTCCTTTCCGGCCACCTTCTCTGATACAGCTTTACAAAGGTCATCTCCAGTGCTGGCTTTGTCCTTTACTATCAACCGAAGCTCCTTCACCGCTGATTGTCTCTTCTCATCCGTCTCATTTAATTCATCTTTAGCCTTACATGAGGAATAAGAAAATACTTGGTATAAATAAGAATCATACATAAGACAAACATTGTTCTGCATTCTTATATAGAGGATATATAAATATTTCTAATTTTACCAGCAAAACTGTTTCTACTGTTTTTTTTGTTCGATGTAATAAAAGCTCTTTCATTAGAGCTTTCTGATCAGGTCCGCCTGTTAGTTTTTCAGATGGACCTCATCGGAAGCCTAATGTTATACTATGGGCAGCCAGACTTTTATTTTTCATCCAGTTACCTCCGGCTCCAGGCCCGGAAAAACATATGGACCTGAGTTCCGTTTTGCTGGACCTGATTGTGCTGGGCGGGGGGTAATATGATGTAAATGGACACAATTTCGTTTACATCTGACTCCCCATAAACCAACATGGATCCGGTGACTTCAGCTTTTTCCTGCATCACAAGATGGAGGGAAAAAAACAGACAGATGCGGATGTCACATAGCACAGATCCCCTGTTTTTGGACCGTGTAAAAGGGGCCTTAGAGTTACATCACTGTCAAAAGATGCTCTGTGAACCCATTGTCCAATATTCTCTTTTACAGTTACATTGGCCATGATCAGGGATAAATTAAATTAGGAGCTCTTATTTCCCCAAAATGTCAGCAAACATCTGGACAGTCCAGTGGTATTTCACCACATTAGTAAAATGTGTTGTTATCAATGTAGGAGAGGAAATTATTTTTTGTGTGTGTTTTTTGAAGAAGCATTGATTACAGAGACTCCTTTCAATTATCCTGGACCTGTTTTTGTGTCAAAAAATGGCCCCTCATAATTTTATGGGGGTTTTTACCGAAATAAAACACAGCCAGTGAAAAACAAATTATGAAAATTTAAAACAACAGTATGTTCATAACCAAATACAAAAAAGGAAACAAACACAAATCCAAAGAGCACTAAATTAAATAAACTTAAGTACCCAAAATACCCCTCCCCAAAGAAGAATCCAACACCTTCTTAATAGTAAAGCAGGGTTGAAATTTCATCTAATCAGCCAAATTGAGAGTTTCCGATTTTGAATAATTTCGCCAAAAGCAAAATTGGTATTTTCATGGAGAAATACATTCAGCTGGAATCACTTGGCTCATCCCGGCCACTGATTTTTTATCATATAATCAATTTAATTGGATTAAAAACATCAGTGTTGTCCCTTTAATGAGGCAGCCTGAGGCTGTTGCGACATCTCTTTGGGTCAAGCATGGCCGCTACGCAGCACCATGTGTGTGCCACCCCCTTTCCGGCCAAAGTTTCCCAGGTTGTAAGAGCCAGGCGGTGGAGATTTGTAAGGGCCATACACATCTCTGCACCCAGCTAATAGCAACCTGGGATGCTTTGGCCCCACTTAGCTCCTGGAACCAAGTGAGAGTGATACCTATCCTCAGCATCCCCCCACCAGTCAGAGCCCCCATCTCACATAACCCCTGGCCCCCCACCTCCCGTGCAACACCTGAGGCAGGAAAAACGCTAGGGACACCACTGAAAAACATACTTAATAAGGCATTGCAAACAACAATAATAATATGTAAGCTGCATTCATACATGGCACAGTCTAGTAGCTATTGGTTATGGCAACTTTCCCATTTTTCTTTGCCTTAATAAATAAGTTATAAAGTTATGGATCCATGTAATCAATAACATCTCTGATGACAATAGCGGTTAGAGATACAAAAAAACAAACAAGGCCTCTTTTTAGGCCTCATTCACACACAAAGCAAGCAAAATTGTATATTGCGTCTATGCGCGTATATACGAGCGTATATGCGTATATGCGTATATACGTGCACTATGCAATCCCAGAATGCATCACTCGTAATGGAATTTTTAATGTGCTGTACGCATGTGCGCGTGTATATGCGTGTAAACATGTGTATATGCGCGTAAATACACAGAAATACGCTGCCCGGACGCATCTCTGTTCCATTCTGTTTTTGCGCATATATACGCTACGCAAATACACGGCTCCATACACAGCTGTGTGTATGGAGCCATTTATTTGCATATGTTGCATAGGGTACAATACGTACGTACGCGCGTATACGAGCGACAGTGTGAATGAGGCCTAAATATAGACATACCCATTGTGGCTCTTCTTTGCATCTGTAGAACATTGTTTTGACTATTTGTTACATTGTCATTACATTTTGTTCACAACAATTGCATTTCAGCTGTAGTGAATAGCCGAACAGTGTTCGGCTCACTTCACTTCTGATCGGTCATTCACTCGGCTGCCCTCGGCAGCTTTGTGAATAGACCCCTTAGTGTCAAACACAAGCGAACACCTGACAGATTGCTTTGGTCATTATGGACACTTCTTTTAGCCTGCAGATTTGATAGAAGGTTAACTAGGGCTTAAAGTATATCTAAAGGCAAAATGTGTTTTCCTTAATTTTGGATAGAGTAGAGGAGAGTTAAAACCACTATCAGGTTTTTTTTGCCATCTGTGTCTGATTAGAGACATTTCCCTTCACGTCTTGTCCTATACATACAACAGGAAGTCAGAGGTTTTCTTTTCAATGGAAATATCCTCTTAGACAGTTGTCATGGGAACAAGTGTTTACCCTCTATTCCTGTTCTGGTGGCAACTCAAAATGTAGGATTTACCCTTTCTTTCATTCCAGGTGACAATTGTGATCAGGGCAGTTAGAGAGGGCGAATCTCCTTAATAGGGACACAGACACCAATGAAAACCTGACAGTACTTCTAACCCCTAACCACACTAGAAAAAAAGTTTCCCTTTAGTTATACTTTAAATCTTACATTAGAGAAGATTAGGCATTAGCTATGGCAATGATCTACATTTAGGGGGAGACAGTTATAAATAATAGTTGATAAAGGGAGAAGTTGCTCATGGTGACCAATGAGATAATGTTTTATTCTCTTGAAAATGTTATAAAGAAGGTGACTGATCCCCGTGGGCAACTTCACAATATTTTCACTGGTTCATTCTTTGAGTTTTTCATAAGTTTTAATGTCCCAGCTTCAGCCTGCTTACCTTCTGCACTGTGTGCTCTGGAAGCTTCTCACATTTGCCAAACACTTGTCCATGGTCTTTGGTTGTCAGGCGTTCCAACTTGGCACGGAGGGACTGTTCCTCCTCAGTTACTATACGGTATGTTCCTGTCTGGAAATTGAGAACATGCATCATCAGTGCAGGGCAACAGACATTTCATTAAAATGGGGACCTGGATGAGCTTACAAACTGAAGTTCAGGGCCCTAGGTGATGACCTTATTGGAACATATAACATGTAGACTTTTGTATATAGCAGAGCAAAATATAATAACACTGCTTTTCTAAATATATAGGCACTTTCACTGGTTAGCTCTAAATTCTGTCAACACATTTCCTTTAGATCATATGGTTAGCATGTAAATGACTTAGCATCTCCCATTTTCATTATTACAGTGCTGAGAGACATGTGCCAAAATGACCTGATTTATAGTTTGTGCTGTTCTAGACTATAAACCCTAAACAAGAAGCTATTGCAGCAGTAGTAAACTTCCCAAACTGCAGGGATCCCACTAGTGACATTACAAAGAAATTATTAGTAACAGAGCAATGTGGGTTGTAGGGCTGACTGCAGTGAATTGGCCTACTCCTTTTCTGTGCCCTGTATAACCTGGCTGTAGACATTAGAGAGAAAGGCAAAATAGGGATATGATACTCATCAGGATAATTCAGTAATCAGCCCTGGATTTATTGTTTCCTTCAAACAATAGCTGCATATACATTCATTATCATATTGCATAAGGGTGCATCCAAATGGAAGGGGTTAAGCAAACATCCTCCATACTGACCTTATCTTATCAATTCCTTAGATGTAATGATTGCGGCCAAATCTGGCCAAAATCCAGGTGCAAATCACCTTATGACCTTTATTCACTTACCAGCCTGACATCTTATCGAACATGGCCAATGGACTAGTCTCATTGGTTTGGTTATCTCCTGAATTCGTTGTAATGAGTGCAGCCTAGTTTGGCAAAATTCCATGTGCTGATCACCATATGACCTTTATTTACTTATCATCCTGCCATTTTATCCAGTCTGGCCAATGGACTGGTTTAATTGGCTGGGGTTTCTGCTGGATTTTTTTTAGGAGTAATGATTGCAGCCAATATTTTGCCATAATCCTGGAAACTTTTATAAAAGAAACAAGAAGAAGCCTACTATTGCTGATTATTATCTGTTTCATATCCAATCATGTATGCCATTGTGCTGCTTGATTAACAGATATTTTACAAACAGATTGTAATATGTATGGCCAGCTTAAGTGGAGCTGTTTCCAGTACCAACTAGTTTTCTTATTTTGACAGGAGGAAAATGATTGGCTTCTACAGGCAATAGGTCCAATTTCTTCCAACTTTTCTTTGCTTTTTATGTTAATACATCAGCTTCTATGTTTTTTATTTTAAAGAGACTCATTACGAAGTTCTCCACTTATTTTAACACAAACGTTGGTTTTTGCTCCTTGTGTAACGAAGAGCTCGGCGTGGCTGTTACTCCCAGCAGTACAGTTCTCCACCCATCAGGAAAACACATTTGTCACATTCACCAATACACACAAAGAGCAGGATCCTACAAAACATGGAAAGGCATTTATACCAGCTAAGAGGTATTTCCTTAAAAAACAAATAAAAAGTCAGGAATGGAAAACAAACAAACAAGCGAGTGAGAATTTACGGGTTCCAAAGAAAGGTAACACTTACAATGTCTGACATTTCACTTCTCCGGTATCCACGCAAGAAGCTGGAGAAACAATTAGAGCAAAGGAAATAAAATACAACTTGTAGACTTTCAACAGCTCTTTATATAAGTGCTTGTTATGATACATATATAATATGTGCACCATGTGTATGTCTACAAACGCTTTGTATTAGAGGAAAGCTAGCCCACTAGTTGTTTGCTAAGCTGTTGTGGGGCTACTTGAAGAAAGGCAGGATATAATCAAATGGGAAAATAAAATGGGTCTTTACTCTCCTTTACAAATGATTTCTTCTTCCCCCGACTTGTAACATAGTTTATTTTTTTGTTTTGGCGTCCCTCTTCTTGCCTAGGCGAGAATTACATAGCCTTAGCTGCCAGAATCCTCCTGGGTACCCATGTCAAGCATCCCAGAAGGCTTTGGGCAATCTAGAACACATTGCACATGCACCACGTTGCTTTATCAGGGGGCCAGATGCAAGAACCCAGAAGAGGCAGCCGGTTCCCTGATGACTTACAATAGGACAACGCTAGATCCGCTGGCCTTGTAAATATATTTATGCTGTATTTTTGGGAGGAGGGTGAAGTTCCTCTTAAAAATAGAAAGCTATAAGGCAGAACCAAGAGACATGATATGCAGAAAGCAGTAACCCACAGGAACAGATTTCATATTACTGCATCAGGGTCAGTGAAAGCTAAATGCTGATTTCCTGTTAGCTCTGATCTGATTGGTTGATGAGTGTTTGTACAATTTGCACGTTGCTGTTTGGCTTATTAAAGGGGCACTATTTCCATTTTGTTCAGAGGTGAATTGGACTAGTTTACTGTAAACAATGGTATCAGTGTGTGTTAATGTAACATAACACTTGTTTTCATGTATAGACTGTATTTATCTATTTACATTTGCAAGGCAGAGTTATTATTGGTCTTGAGAAGAATTTGAGAGGAGCTAATTAAAAAAACAACAGCAGTAGTGATTGGTAGCCAGAGATCAATAGCTGCCTCAATTGGGACCCGGGGAACAAGAGTTTTATATTAATGGCAAGAATTTCAAAATAATAATAATGTAATATGGTAATACTGACATCTGTCCTTCTGATTCATATGAAGCATACATTTTAATGATTGTTCTACTTTAAAGGTGACTCTGTCGACAAGAACAAACTTAAAACGTACCTATCCTACTGCTTTTGCCGCCAGTCCTCCCTTTTTTGCAGAGCTATGGCAAATGAAAAAAGTTCCTGATCCAACACTTTAAGGTGTGCCACATGTCTACATGCCTCGCTCCAGTGCTGTGATATCATCTGCTGGCATCTGATACACCCAGAAGTATTGGATGCTGAAGATTCCTAGCTGGCGTAGAGCAAACTTCAGAAGCAAAAGCAGCAACAAGCAAGTATTATTCTTCTTCTTTTGTAGAAAAAAGCTTTGGGTTCATGCACATGGACTCAATAAAACAAAGGTATCTATGCAGGATTTTGCATGAAAAAATGCATGTAATGCCCCCTTTCCGGCCAGAGCATCCCAGGTTGCTAAGAGCAAAGCATCCCAGGTGCTAAGAGCACCTGGGATGCTCTGGCCAGGAGCTGGGCAGGATGCCGGCCAGAGCTTCCCGGGTTGCTAAGAGCTGGGTGTGGAGATATGTATGGCCCTTATACATCTCCCCGCCTAACTCTTAGCAATCTGGGACACTCTGGCCAGAAAGGTGGTGGTACATACATGCTGCCGCTCTGTCTGCCGCCCCACTCAAGCGACCCAAATAAATGCTGCCTAAGCCAACATCCTCAGACTGCCTCATTAAAAGGGACAGCCCTGATGTTTCTTATCCTATAAAATAATTTTATGACCATACAGACCTCCCCACCCAGCTCTTAGTAACCTGGGATGCTCTGGCCAGCTTCCTATCCAGTTCCTGGCAACCAGTGATGATACTAGTTGCCAAGAGCTGGGCGGCATGCTGGCCAGAGTGTCCCAGGTTGCTAAGAGATGGGCGGAGAGACACAGAGCCTGCAAGAGGGCAGTGTCACTCTCGTATGTGGCGACACTGTCTCCTATCCAGCTTCTGCTGCTCTGATTGCAAGAACCACCACAGCCCCCCGCCTCAGGCAGCAAAAACGCTAGGGACACCACTGGGCACATTCTACAAGTAACTTGTCAGCTATAACACTTGGATTAGTCCTACATGCTGGAACTGGCTGTTCTACAATAGCTTGATAGTCATATAGACTGTAGAGCTATTTTTGTAAAATGTCTATGATTTTGCCACATACCATACAAAGGGGCAGATGTATGAATGACAAAACAGAAAATTGAAGATATGACATATTTTGGGTTATGTTTTATTAGAAACCTGACCATTTGCTCCAGTTTCTCATAATTCACCAACTTGTGTCCCTTTGTATGGGCAGTACAGTGGCAAAGTGGTTAGCACTTCTACTAACTGCTCCCTGGTTCGAAGCCTGGTCAGGAGACCACATGGAGTTTGCATGTTCTCCATGTGCTCGTGTGGGTTTCCTCCAAGTACTCCAGTTTGCTCCCACATTCCAAAGACATGCTGGTGGGTTATTTAGCTCCTTTCTAAACTGGCCCTAGTATGTGTGTGCATGTGTGAATGCATGGGAGATTAGGACCTTAGATTGTAACCTCCTTGAGAGCAGGGACTGATGTGAATGTGCAGTAAGTAAAATGCGGCGCTTTATAAATTCCTGTAATAAATAAATAAATACATTGTAGGAAGCTGTGAGGTTGTTATGATCCTCCACGTCTGTGTTTGGGGGTGATTTATAAAAACTGGAGCAATAGCAGTCTGACTGCACTGGGAAAACAAACCAGTTTTATTGCTTGCTATGAGCTGCAGCTCCTTCAACTCTTCAGTTTTCATCTTCCTACTTAGCCGGTGGGAAGTTTCTGATGTTTTCACTGAAGGCTGTTTGCAGGTTATAGGTTAAGCCCCAGAAATGTTCTTTACTGTGTGTGTAATCCTATGTTATTTAGGAAATGCCAAGGTATTTTGCAGAAAGTACCATGCATTGTGAAACACATGAATAGAAAACATTTTGGCATTGAGGTTACTTTCTAAACTGTATGCACTCACATTTTAACATTAAGAAGAATACACAATGTTCAAATAACCCTGTATAGTAAATAATACAAGTTCTGTTAGAGGGATCATGGAATGTACCCACGTATAGAGTAAGAAAATGGATTTCTGCAGTTAGAAATATAGAAATATGTTGTGTATATCGTGAACACAATCTCAAAAGGAATATTAAATATGAGGAATGCCTGTCAAATAATAATGTAATTCAAATTCCCCAGAACATGTGCTACTGGGAATGATCATAACAAGGATGCAAAATACTATTATGTTGCAATTTTAAAACAGATTATCATCCAAAATTAAATCATTTATACACACCATCTAAATATAGTTCTCTCTTTTGTTCCATGTAAATTCTGCACAGTAATGTGACCACAACACAGGATATATATATCAAATTACCATTCTGATTCATAAAACAGAAGATACCATGGACAATATATATGAGTTGAAGGCATCTTTGGAATATTAAGGACTAATATACAGAGCATTGTGTAGGATAAACTATGAGCAGCAAAATGATATACGGTATATTTTAGCTTCCTGCAATTAAACAGATAATATGTATCTTTACAATGATCATTTCTTTTCTATTATCCACATTAGAACAATGGGAGACGTTTACTAAAACAGGAGAAGACGGAATCTGAAGCAGCTGTACATAGTAATCCAATCAGCTTCTACCATCAGATTGTTTAGTTAAGCTTTGGAAATAAAAGCTAGGAGCTGATTGGTTGCCATTCTGATTCTGTCTGCTCCAGATTTAATAAATTCACCTCAATATGTTTAGTTATAAAACTTTTGCTGCAAATCCTTATGGCTCATCCAAGAAATTCCACACCGAGGAAAATAATTCATCAAAAATGAAGTGCTGTTATTGTAAACTTAACCTCTAAACCCCTAATGAACCCCTAAAAGTAACGATTAACCATAACCAGTAAACTAACTGGTAACTTGGCCCAGCCCCTAAAGCTAACCCTACTACTGCCAGGATCTATTATTATAAAAAAAAACAGGTATGGATTTAACCCAGGAAAATGAACAGTGCTATTATGTATTCAGATTTAATTAGGAAAATATAGTGTATTGATAAGAAATCTAAAAGCAGTATTGTCAGACCAAAATAGAACGGAAATTGTCTACCTGATTTAAAGGAACATATGGTCCAGTGCAAAGATAAAATGACTGTATCTTCAAACTGAAAAGCATCTGTTTCCTGCGCTGCCCTATCTCATTATTAGATTACAAGGACATGGAACATGATAACCAAATGGCAAAACAAACCCACACACAGCAGACCTAGTGATGTCTCACAGCCTGACTTTCTACAGCAATTAAGATAGATGAGACTTACCGTTGAACCTTGCTAATGAAATCGTCAAAGATAGTCAGCGTTGGGTTATGTTAAACTTGAAAAAAGCTGATAAATATGAGAATTTTGCAAAGATGGATGAGCTGTAGCCTTGATGTGTCCACGGGATGCCAGCCCAAAGCTTCTATAGTCATCGGGTTCGGATTAGGCGTCACAAGGCATTACTCAGTCAGGCTTATTAATTAAATCAGCACAAAACATTCAGGAGATGCCATTAGATGCAACAGAAAAGGAGGAGAGAAGTGACTGGATGAGTGGGGCTTGGAACAATAACTCTTTAGCTGGCCTCTGATTCCTCAAATCTTTTTATAACCCATTAAAAATGAAGCTTTGCCTGCATGGCTGGTACAGAAAGAGTAAAGTAAGTGTGACCTGCAAACTTATGAGGACTCTTTATTATTTTCATCTAAATATCAATTTGGAGTCATTAGTTTACTTTATATGAGCAAATTAGTTCTTCAGTTTCACTAGATATACATAAAGTATATCCCCAAATATCCCCTTCTCTTAGTCTTCCTCTGTCTGCCAACTTTAGGAACTATTATATGGTACTGGTACTAAGTGAGGGTGGCAAGTAAGGTCTGGCAAAGTTGTTAAAGAGCACATCCATGCAACAAGTGACTCAATGAACTGTTAATGTAATCAAGGAAACACTTTATAGGCTTGTGTAGACAGGCAATGTTTTCCTGCATTTGCAGCGCACATCAAACACAGGTCCGCAGATTCTCACTTAACTCAATGGGGTAGTGTAGAAGACCGTTTTGGGGCTGTGTTTGACTTCTTTTGCTTTGGGTTGCACTTCTTTAATTGCCTAAAGAGTGTCTAGCCAGAGTAACTGAGGCAATGTACTCATTCACCCGTGGTTTGGTGGGTCTGCCTCCAGGAGTGTGTTCTGGGTAACTTCCTTTCTCTCTGCTGGATGCATGACCAATCAGAAATAACCATCCAAGGCTGGTTTCAATCAAATTGGTGGCTGTAAGTGACAAAAGTAGTGACACTTTTGATACATCAAGCTTTGCGTATGTGAGAACCAACAAGAAACCTTAAAGGGTTGTGTAGTATGTCTTCTTCACCGCACACAGGGAAGCAGATTATTACAAAAAGTGTGGATTGGGGCTCTATGGCAGAGTCTAGGTAAAAAAACTAAAGACATGACTAAGTAGATTATGTTCCCTGTATACATTTTAAATGGAAGATGTGCTGCTAGTGCGGTGGAAGTTTAGGGCCTAGCTGTACTGTCTGACAGGTATGCCTGGATCAGAAAACTGGCTACACAGATTCAGCAGCTTTGTGTTCACACCTCAAAAGCAGTAAACCATGGATTTCTGCCCACGCTTCTCATTTTGAAAGGTATTAATGGCCAGGAATGTCTAGCTTAAAACCTAAATCAATAGACTTATGCTTATGTTAGCAGCAGCATTGACAGCCTGCCATGCAAGCTCCTTCACTTGGTCGTTGGGCTTCCAACCTGATAGACAGCCCAATGGCCAACTGAAGGAGTGCTCATGGCAGGCTGACAAAACTGCTGCTAATTGTGAGGCAGTGGCTTACAACAAAAACAACTTGCAAGTTATTTCTCATAGATGTTTGTCAAAGTGTATGTGTAGACAAAACTTTTTCTTCTTTTAGACACAGTAGAGAGGGGATAAAACACCCCTTCAGTTTAATTTTTTTGTCCCAATGGTGAGCTTTCGCTTCATTTCCTATCCTAGAAAAGCAACAGGAAACAAGAGGTAATCTCTTCAAAGTAAGGGAAATGTACTCTTAGACAGTTCTTGCTGGATTAAGTGTCCCCATTGGAAGATTTTGCATCACCTCCTGTTCTGATGACAACAATTTGGGCTTCTCAGCAGCTTCTGTCCTAGTTAGAATGGTCAGCAGGATGCATAGAGATAGTGAATCTTTCTAGTGGGGACGGAGACAACAATAAAGAAAACTCAGCTCGTGTCTGATATGCTGTTCTTTGTCTCTCCAGCAACAATGAAAACCTAACACGGACATTCTAAAAAAAAACAAATGTGCACAAACATTTTAATTTAAAATAATCAAGGTAATAATAAAACATATGGAGTAAAAAGGAGACTGATATGCAAATAAATGGCAGAAGAACGATTCCTTGCTATAAAGAAGATGTTGTTAAACAAATTAACTGTTTTTTTGTTTTAGAAGAGCAGGGCACCTAGTATGAAAGAAGAGAACAAGCCCCATATGCAGTGTCAGCAGGCTGATTCCCATAGAAATCACAGAGCAATGAAGGCAACAGATGAGATACTCCCCATAATGGTCCCATGCATGCTTGCTGGTTCCATTGTGTTAGGTAGTTCAGTAAACAATGCAGTAAATAAATGCTGGGATGTCACCAGTCATTTTACTCAATGCTATTTTGTGTTGCAAGAACAGTTCAGCAAGAACTCCTTTCAGTACAAATGAGATTTGAGACAAGTTGTCTCCTCTTGTGTATGCACAATATTGACTGCTTTACCTCCCATTCACACTTGATACACATGTTTGCACTGCTGTGTCTGTTTAGAAGAAACAAAGGATGCCTTTCATCAAGAGGCCTCATTTATTTTATACTTAGTTATAGTAATGGCCGGGGTCAGAGACAACTTAACTAATAGGCTTGCAGGCTTAATCTAATGAATATTTTGACATCTGCCTTTATTCACGATTTCATGGGCCAATCAGTGATGTCAAAAAATACAAATAATAATTAAAAATAACAGTACAAAATATTTTTGCACTATTATAAGCCAGCCTTTCTCAACCAGGGTGCCATGGAACACCAGGGTGTCTCCTGACTTCCTCAGGGGTGTCTTGAAATGTTGTGGTGGAAGGACTGAAGCGAGCTTCTGAAGTGAAGGGGGAACTCTGATGTAAAAGGAGGGGGCTCCAATTTGAAAGGGGACTCTGATGTGAAAGGGGGATACTAATGTGAAAGGGGGATCCTGATGTGAGGGGGGCTTCTAATGTGAAGAGAACTCTTGATATGAAGGGGGGCTTGTGATGTGAACGGGATCTCTGATGTAAAAGAGGGGGACTCTGGTGTGAAGGAGGAAACTCTGATGTAAAAGGAGGGGGCTTCTAATGTAAAGGAGGGCTATTGATGTAAAGGAGGACTCTAATGTGAATGGGCAGATTCTAATGTAAAAGGGGGCCTTTGATGTGAAGGGGGGGGGGTCCTGATTTGAAGGGAGGACTTCTATGTGAAGGGAGGAACCCCACTTTAAGATTCACTACATTTAGGATTGGGCTGTATTTTGCATACTTTAAGAGGGTGCCGTGACTGTAAATGGTTGAGAAATGCTGTTATAAGCAATAGTACCCACGCTTTTTTCCATACCCTGTTTTTAATGACTGCATTTAAAAGATTATACAAATATTAGAAAACAGTTCCAGAGTGTGAGGTCTTGGTAGACATTCTTAGTTCATCAAATAATATAGAGATTTGTTAGATGCGATTAAGTACTGTACATTTCTGTACTAGCACATTACTCCATATGTTCAAAGGCAATAGGCTCCTCCTTATTATAAAATGTTATGTACACCTCTCTGAGAAGTGAAAATGAAACCCTTAGATGCAATGGAGCAAAGCCCACGGCTTTAATACTACAGTTCTTCAAGCAAACACAACTGTGATACACCAGCATACCTTCCAATTTTCTGGGATGTGAAAAAGAGATGCCTTGTGACCAGGGCCGATGCTAGGATTCTTGCCTACACAGGCAAGGTGCATTTTTGCGCCCCTTGCCCTCCCCGACCCCCTGTAAAAATGGGGCATTTTAACAGGTACTTGTACTTGTCAAAATGCCCCGATGTTTGCGCTATGTTTTTTTTTTTTTTTCACTTACCTTCGGCGCGGGAGAGCAGCGGCGAGTCAGCGCTGGTCCGGTGGGAGGAGCTTCAGGTGGGGTCCTAATTTAGCTGGCCGGCGACTGCCTGAGGTGCACCAAAGGTAAGTGAAAAAAAACAAACATAGCACAAACATCGGGGCATTTTGACAAGTACAAATACTTGTCAAAATGCCCTGTTTTTTCCGCCCTCACCCTGCAGCGCCCTCAGGCGGCCGCCTGACTTGCCTTGCGGTAGCGCCGGGCCTGCTTGTGACACAAAGTAAGCAAAGAACATATCCCTGCCTGCCACCAGTTATGCCGACCCTGAAGAATTCATAAACAATAAAGTGGTTGGCCAGACCCAATAGTGCATTTTTACACTACTACTTTTCCTTTATGTTGGCTTTTCAAAATAAAAAATGCAATAATTTAAAGGTGGAATGAACATTGTGGAGTAGTATAATATATTTAATAGTTAAATAGTACATATTTTATTATAGGTCTATACATCAGACCACAAAGAGAGACAACTGAGGAGTAAAGAGGGACAGGGGGATTTGGTTCCAAAAGAAGGACTGTCCCTCCAAATGAAGGACAGTTGGGAGCTATGCACCAGTCAACCCCATGCCCTTTATGTTGGAAAGCGGGTGAACCTGGAATGCATCTGCTTGTGATGCTGCAACACACATTGTGGGTTATATCCGACTTGTTGAAGCTTCTAATACTCACTGTACTAAAAGTAAGCAATTCCAGTAATGGAGAGAAGTTGTACAACTGTGCAAGCCTGAAGAAAAGGCTGGAGCTCAGCTTTCAAATATGAAGTCAGCCTAAAAAAGGTATTACTTAATCTTCACATCTTTGGCCACATATTTATATTAACCGGCATGCACTGAATATACCAGACCATGAGTAATACCCCAACTGCCACTCCAATCATCACTTGATGTCCTATCCATGCCATGCTTCCTCTCTTTCTGTGGCAGACAAAGCCTGCATTGTGCCCACTTCATGCCATGTCAGAAAACTAGGGTAGACTAGATCTAACTAGGGCTTTTGTTTTTGAGATCAATAGGGTGAGTAATTTATAAACAAGCTTTGACATTCTGATGTATCAGAAATCCATTGTTCTTACTCATTTGTCAGCACAATTATGAAAACTAATTGACAAGTTCACATCTCACCTCGGAAAAGGATAATTGGGACATTTTCTCTCGACAGGCCACTCCGAATAGAAACAGGATGTGTTGGCCATTGTCTTTTATATTTGTGGTATTA